AAGTGATGTCTCCGGTCACTTGCAGTGGTTAGGTTCTGTGACCCTCCTCCTCTTTCCTGAAATGCCAGGTGGAGTTTCCTGCATGCTTATGGAGCCTACTCCTTGCTCCAGCAAGTATGGAACTGCATTCATATCTATCTCACTTTTGGAATGACTTTGGGGATTCCACAAGTGCTAACACTTTCTTTGGAGCCCTTTACCAGATCAACTCCTAGCTGTCCTTTAGGTTCTAGTTAAATGCCATTTGTTCGTCCAGAGGGCTTTAATCATGCTCTCCCTCTGTGTCTTAAGAAACTCACTGCACAGAGCTATCCTGTCTCTTTGTCTGAATTCTTCACTGGATGGTTGGCTTTGTGCCTTCACTTGTGCAATGAACATTCAGGTATAGTATGAGATCAAAGATTATTTCTCGAACGAATTGGGGGGTTGAATGTTGTTTTAAATTCTTCGATCGTTTCCACAGGGACACTGTGCTGCTGCCCCCCAGAGCCCCCTTTAGGATGGAGGAGTTTGCTTCATGAGCTGAAGACAAAGGAAGAGCTATCAGTAATAGCCCTCGCTAGGAACTGTCCCCTTCCCAGCCTTTGTGCAATGGTCGGTTGACATGGGATTATAAAGGCCAGCCCCCTTGCCTAAATGCAAGACAACGTCTAGAGCCATCCCAGACCCAGAGGTCCCCACAGGAAAGACTAAGAGAGGCATTGGAGGCAACTGCCTATGAATTCAATTCCTCCCCTGGTGTCCAATGCTATAGTCTCATTCTGATTTAAGTGTTATTCTCTAAAGCACTCAGCGAGAAGCTTCCTGCCTGCAAAACTCCATCTCAGAGTCTGGAGTCCAAGGAATCCAGCTGTCAACACCATAGGTCTTAGAATAAAAATCTAAAATCCTTAAAAGGACTGCACAGCCGTGACTGATCTGGCTCTTGCATCTATTCTCATCGGCATGTCACTTCTGGTCTTACATCCTTGAAATTTGCTTGTTTTCCTCCTTATCTGGGTATTTTCCTTCTCATCCCTGCTTCTAGAATGCCCCTTCTTGGCATTTCCCATGGATGCGTGTTCATGTCCCTGAAGTCTCAGCTCCCACGTGCTTCTCACAACCCCAGTTGTTTTCATGATTGCGTTTTCATAACTAGGGATTATCGTGCTTCCCAACGTATCGACCCTTTTAACATCTAAGCATCTGACGAGCATACTGACAAATGTTAACAGTAACGACACACTGTTAACCAGGCCCAGTTTGAAAGGTTTGCCATAGTTCATCCTATAACAGCCCTGTGAGACAGGTACTCATATTTCCTCAATTTCACAGGCGAGGAAGCTGAGGAAGAGAGATCCCACAGCCAACAGGAAATGTCACTAAGATTCCAAAGCCGGCAACCTCACTACCCGGTAGTCTGTGCTGTTAAGGCCTGCTGTGAACACCACATGGCACTTTTTGAATAATGGGGAGCGAATGAATGAATGAAGTGGAAAGGAGAGAGACTTTTTAGAAGTAGATTTTCTAGAGAGGGTAGTAAAGTCAAACATAAGAGCTCTCAATGTAACTGTAAATGCATGCTCCTTTGGAAAGAGGCAGACACAGTCAGGAGTTATATTTCATCTTCTACATTGAATCAGTAGTCTTATTGTTGTTACATAAAGGAAGAGAGCTTACACAGGTGTAAAATCTGATACGGTATGTATAGGTATTCTGGTACTTGGTGCCTAACTTCTCTACAACAAGCAAGCAGTTCACACAGGAGTGAAGCCATTCAACAGAAGCCATATTTGAAATTTACAACTTATTATATTAAGACAAAAATTAAGTTTAGCCTTAACTTTGAAGGTGCATGCTCTCCTTATATATCACTATAGCTGATATTATAGTACATCTAGCTTCAGAAATTGTAGGATGATTGAATCCAGTAATACAATGCATAAGAAATATCAGCTCTAATAAAAATGTTCTACTCTTCAAATGTACTTAGAGGGCTCTGTCTACAAGATGCCAAATTTGAAGAAGTAAACTGAAAAATGTAATCAGTCATTTGAATGTTTTATCTACATTACATTGAGCATTTTGTAACATAATGAACATTCATAATTTAGAAGGCTGGGAAGTTTTGACTTAGTATCCAGGAGATTTGGCAAAGAAACTCAGTCACAATCATCTGATTCCCCTTGTGTAGAATAATAATGCGTACCACTTTCTTCCTCCCCTGGCTTTTGCTTAGATTAGTTTAAAATCACAACACATTTTTACTATATCTAAACTTACTTTACATTAAAATCATACTTAATTTAAAAGCACAATTAAAGATGTTATTTAATAAGTCAGTTGCTGATGAATTCCACAAAATGTGATAATCTTCTTTGGCATATCGATGTCGGAAGCCATTTGACAAGATAAAGCATCACAAAGGAAATCAGTGTCATCAGATCAGGTGAAAGCCTGCTACTGGTGTACTTTTATTACCAAAAGTAGGGTGCCAGGTGCAAAAGAATCTCTTTATAAACATCAGTAAATAGTTACATATTCTTATATTTGAAAAGGTGTTATATTTCATGGAAATAATCTTTTCCTTAGAGTCCATATATGTAGGAGAACAACTATATTCTTGCTAATAAGTAGAGTCAGTTACAGTAATTTTCTTCAACAACTGTAATACAACCAGTCCAGTAATATGTCAGAGGTAGTATCAGTCTCAGTAATTGATTTTTTTCCTTTCTGAGCCATTACCATAGACAAAGAGTATCAGTGGTACTTTCAATTTATTTCAAGAGAATATTCTCTAGAATAAACACTAAACGAGGCACTAAATTTACATTGAATTAAACTGTTTTTAATTAATTTTCCACTAAAACAAAGGTTTTTAAAAAATATACTTTGAGATTTCAGGAACTGTATCTTTTATCTGTTCATCAATATCATTGCTCAGTTCTCTGTTGTCAGTGAAATTCAGTCTGAGGCAGATCTTTTGCACAATTAGAGCTTAGACGTTAAATAATTCATTTTTTGCAAATATAAGTGCTGGCCTGATCATGACATTAATTTAAGATTTCCTTCTCCTCTAATTAAGATAACCATTAGATAACTATAAACAAGATTTTTTTTAAATTAGGAGTTCAGGAAATTTTGACAAATTTGAAACCTTATTATTGAACTTGGCATTAACCAGAATATCTTAAAGTCTTGTAACTGTGGAAAACACACTATCCCAATGTATGTGATAACATGTAAATGAATAATTTAACTTTTCTCCCTTATGAACACTGCCTACTACTTCCATGAATGGAAGTTATAGAATTAAGGATGTCAAATAAATAGATAGGTTTTTAAAAAAATGTGATAACAAGATACTGGTAATTATTAAATGTCTTTTACTTGAAGACTTCCAAGTCATTGGCCACAATTGCTAATTCATCACCATGGTTTCCTATTATTCATTTATGCAAAAGGGTACAGTGAAGTATTTATACTAATTTGAGAATTAAAAAGAGTGTAATATGTCTGGGACCAAAAGTATGTGCTACTTTAATCAATGATTTTTCTTTTTTATGAGTTGAATTCTGATTTACTATGAAGAAATTTCTATGGGACTTCTAAATAGTACATTTAAAGTTTTTACTTTAGAAATCAATAATGCATGTATGTTGCAATTTAAATCCTCTGAAGTGAGAAAATATGAGTAAGCAAGAGCAAATGACATATAGGAGATGGATTTCAATGAGATTTCCTTATTAATAATACTAAATAAGTTCATTGGGAAAACCACAGCCAAAGAGTTGTACACTCATAACTTCAAATTTAAAATTTTGAATTTTTTATCTTCCAAACCATGCTGTCTGTTTCTTTCCAATTTTTCTTCTATTGGAAAAGAGTAAGTATAATAGTTTGACAAATGCCATTTTCATCATTCTATATTGTATATTTATCTGACCTGACTAATAATCTTTTTAAAAATTGGACATTTTGGTTTAAAATTGGGAACACTTGTCCAGGTATAGGTGGGGAAAAAAAGACCGCTAATTTGTATAGTCAGGGGTAGTCAACCCCAATTAGAAATCAGTAACCATAGCACACATTTCCTAGTGATAACACTAATTATATTTCTAAGAAATGCCCATACCCCAGGTTTTTGTCATTCATCCAATTGAGAGAAAGAACAACCTTATTAAATATTTATAAGTCATCTCAAAGGGAATCCTTTTGTAATGACAGGTCTTTAAGTCAAATTTTAAGCAGAAACCATGGTAAATAATACTTTATTTTAACAGAACAGTACCCAGTAGACTTCCCTTTCTGTCTTGATTAATTTTATGACTATTTCAAAATTAAAGCTAGGGATGAGCCGCTTTTGTAGTAGACTTTTTGGGCATGTTCTCCCAGACAAGATTCTCTCCCTCTGTGGGATTTTCAGTCTCGTACGCAGAGCAGGTCCCAGTGGCCATATGTTTACTACATGACCCTGTCCCCTGGAAGCAGCCTGCCAGACTAGGAATGAATACCTAGCCCAGAATGCACCATTTGCACGTGCTTTTTTGGAGTTGGACCTGGGCGTGAAGAATCCGGCCCAGCCCTCCTGCCCATGGATGAGAGGCATGCTTTTTGCACTGTGAGGTGGACGTTTGCCACATACATGCAATGAGGAAAGAATGACATGAAGATGCAAGATTATACATCTTAAAAGAGTCCAAGAGCCATGGCGCTAGAGGCTGAATGCTTTCCAGATCTCCACCTCTGCCTCTCCGAAAGTAGGAGTGCCTTCCTTCCCCTCCAATGGCATTAGCTAGCTTTATATTTCTGGGTAAATTCCTCATCTTTGCGTAAGCAAGTGCCAGTAGGTTTCTGTGACTTGAATCCCGGAGAGCACTGGTTAAGACTTCCATTCTTTTGTATGATACGCCCCTTACCAGCATTTGTAAGTATATAACAACACTTGGATGATTGTGTTATGATAATGATAACATGTGAACTTTTCTTTGATAAGGTAGCAGTAAATTCAAGAATTATTAGTGTTTGCTTTGACAGCACATATACTAGAAGTGGAACGGTGCAGAGGATATTATCATGGCCCCCATGCAAGGGGGACATGCAAATTTGTGAAGTGTCCCACATTTAACAAAGAATCATTATCCTTCCTCATGTATTTTTCTTCCAATGTCTGATTTCAAAAATTGGACATTGCTTTTCTACTTGGCAGTTTCTTGAAACACTTTTTTAAAAACTTTCTAGCGAGTCAGCGTGCCCTTCCCTGGGCCTGCTAACACACCTCCAAAGCTAACGAGCCTATCAATGGTACAGTGTGCCTATTTTTATCCAGTGGGATGCCCACGTCTCTAAATCTATCTTAAAACCACAAGCCCTGTAAAGTAACATGATGTGTCACCACCAAGCAAGCCACCGAGGAGACAATTTCTGTGTACAATTTCTGTCCTCTGGTACCTAGTGACAATGAACAGTGAGCCTGGAGAGCCTGCTGCTTAGCACTTTACCAATAACTCAGAGAGGAAAACCAGAAAACCCACAACAGGATTTAAGTCAGGTCTGTGATTATCTTTCACTTTCAGCTGGGATAGGAAGAGCTCCACTACTTTTTTTCTTAACAAAGCCACACATTGCCAGAGATGATCTCTCTCAAACACATTTAAATTTTATGAACTATAGAAGTGAAGATTTTCTATAACGGAGAAGGGAGATCAGGAGGGAGGGAAAGGCAGAGAGGCAGAGAGATTTGGTTAACGAGTATTTTCTTCACCTGCTTCAACACGTTTTAATGTGGTTTCACGTCGTTAACTTCCTTACTTATAGTAATTGCTATGTCCGGACATATTTATCATTAGAAAAATATTTTAGAATCTTTTCGGTAAAAGCCTAATTAAGCTAATATTGTTCTCACTTTAATCATGAGAGCTTTAGTGCCCTAAGTTATATTCCAATTAGTTATTTGTAGTTAGTTAGCAGAGAATGGTTACAGAGTACCACTCAGGTAACCATAGGCAGGTGCAGAGTACCCAGTGTACGTGGGACACTGGAGGAGGCACACAGCAGTGATATTAACAAGTAAAGAAACACTTTTGTCAAGGAATTTTAGAGGAAAACTGATCGAGCGCAGGTGGGACATGATTTAACATAAGTGCCTTTCTAACCTTTGTTTAAAGAAAATAGCAAGTCCTGCCATATGCATCGACATGGATGAACCTTGAGGACGGTACAGAAGGTGCAATGCACCAGTCACAGAAGGACAAAGACTGCGTGACTGCAGTTACGTGAGCCATTTAAATGGGTGACCACTTAGAAGCAAAGAGTTGCAGGATGGCTGCTAAGGGTGGAAGGAGGAAAACCAGGGAGGTGTCCAGTGGGTAGAATGCATCGGTTGTGCAAGATGATTAAATTATTAAGATCTGCCCCACAATGCGGTACCCATGGAAAACAATATCATATTGTGCGCTTAAAATTTTCTACTTGGGTAAATCTCAGGTTGAGTGTTCTTACCCAAATAATAAAGAAAGGACGCGTCTTAAACCGGCATTATAAATCAACCAAGAGCCTATATGGCAAACCTGTCTGTGTGGGAAAAGGGGTTTCTCTTTGCCCGTGCACTGGTAAAGCACAGCTGCCCATTACTGCTGTTAGTACCAGAGGTAGTTAACTTGTGCGTGTTCATATCATCCTCGCTGCAGGTGTCTGAGGGCACCAGCCAGGCCTCCCAGGCGGGGGTACTAAGCCCCGCCTGGGGTGCAGGCACAGTGAGAGGTACCTCCTCTCTCCAGATGGCCTTTGGGAGCTATTCAAATGCAAGTTAAATATGTTAGGCCTGGCTTTGCAAAACATCTCTGAGGGAGGACTCCCACTGAATAGTAAAATGCAAATTCTGCTCTTCGAAAACCACCTCCAGAATTAGGTTTTATTTCTGACACCTCTTATAACAAGAGAAAAAATGTGGCTTTATGTAGTCAAAGTGCTGCACAGGTATTGTTTACACTTCTTATAGCTGTGAGGAGTTGGCAGGGTGAGGGGGAATGAGAAGAAATGCAGGGGAAGGGTCTGAAGCATGGAGACACCCGGTGATTCTCCAAAGCTGTATCAGTAACAACAATAAGTTCCTCTGCAATCACCACCCCTGCCACCAACACTGCTATCTCCCATGAAACTTCAGGTATGCTGAGAACTATACACCTTTTATATACAGCCTTTTCTCTTAGTTTTTGCAGCGCCCTGGCAGGAGCTCAGTTACCCCATTTTCTTGATGAGGAGAATAAGGCTCATAGAGTTATGTTCCTCTGTGCACACAACTACAAAGCTGTGGAACAGGATTTTCCAATGCTGAAGACCACATTCCTAGCTACTACAACACCATCCTTCCATACCTCTGTTATCATGCTTCTATTTATGTTCATATGCATTACATTCAAATTTGTCTTTCATATTTTAGTCTCAAAGTGGTCAGCCATTATCACACACTCTGCTTCTGATGCCAAACACATATCCCACTTGACTGTTCATCAAAGCACTTACCATGACACGATACATAGGAATATAAACAGAGATACATTTGTTTGTTTTTTTATCATCTGCTCTGCTACTAGAACGTAAGGTCCATTACGTTCTTTGTTTGGGTCATTACTCTGATCCCAGCATCTAGAACTGTGTAGACATTTAATATGTCTAAGCTGAATGAATGAATGAGTGAATGAATAATACATTATAATCTAGACCCTGGATATATCAAGGACTATCTCTACTACCATAAATTAAAACTATAATTGTTTTAGATGCATTCATCAACTCATTAAAAGCATTTATACTTGCGCTAATTAACCAGATTCCATAAGTACCACAATACGACACAGGAAGCAAGCAGTAGCAGAGAACCGCTGTGTTGCTATTAAGTGAAGGAGAAATGACTAGGAAAACAAATATTCAAGAAGCAAGCCACGTGGCAGAGAAAAAGCAGGCTTTGAAATTTCTGAAAAATGATGTTCCATCTTGGTTCTGTCGCATACTGTGTGACCACGGGTAAATTATTTCTCTTTATGTACAAAATGGGGAGTGATTAAGAGCTCATCTAGAAATTACTTTAAGGATGACATGAAATAAAGCATTAGTCTATGACTTTTAAAGGATAATTTTTCTGACTTTCTCTGAAATGCTGCAAAACAGCAAAGCATTCTATTTCAAACAATTGCAAATCTCTCTACCAAATCATTCGTGGCAACAAAACAGAGAGGAGGAGGTAGAAAGTGGCAAGGCCCTCCCAGGCAGAGGTCAACTGAGAAAACATCAGACAATGCGGCCTGCCAGGTGATTCCCAAACAGAATGGCAAAGCCCACCGTCGAAAGGGAAGCCATGAAAAGCAGCGCAGGACAGAAAGTGGACAGCATGGCTTTCGGACTCAGAACTGTGTGGGGGGCAAACTTCAGAAGCAGCTTAGTGTGATGGCAAGATAGTGAATAGAACTAAATTCAGACCAAAAAGCTAGAGCTTTTCATTTCAAAGAGAGGGACAGAAGGGGGAGGCTGGCTTATGTTTCAGGTAAGCTCCATAGAACATCACAGCCTTTGGGAATTCCCCAGGGTTTAAAGTTTAAAAAAAAGGAAAAAGAAAAGAAAATTGGCTTAAAGTATTCAGCACTAAGTGAACATTTCAAGATTAGTAGGGAGTCCACTTCCCTTCCCCTCTAGCTCTTTGAACTGGACACAGTGTACAAAGCAGAAACAAAACTAAACTAAATCGAGGAGGGAAAAAAAGCCGATGGGTAAGTACTAGGTGAAATACTCATGATTGAGAATATCATGGACAGAGTTTGAAAGAACCCCCGCCCCCTTGTAACACACAAGGTTATGAGGTGATTAGCACATAGCAACAGGGTAGATGAGGATATAAATTAGAAAAGTTACTGTCTTTTGTGCTTTTATTCCAGGTTCTTAAATTTTATGTGATTCTAGGCTTATGCAATTTAAAAAGAAAAACAAATAAGTGGAAGTTTTGTAATTATCCATGGGATTGGGGTATGTATAAAAGTCAGCTTGGATAATGTCCCTGAATATCATTAGCCATTTCATAGCTATTCATAAACTCAAAGGTATACATATTTAATAAAAAATAAAAGCCAAACACTCACATAGAAAGTGCAGAGTTCCAGTTACTGTTTTCACTGATTTTTATATATTAACATATTTAATCCTTAAAGAGTCCTGTAAGGTAAAAACTATTATACCCATTTTACATATGGAGAAACAAAGGCAAGAAGAGGTTCTGTAAACCTCCCCAAATGCCCCAGCTGATAAGCAGCAGAGAGGAGGTTCAAACACAGGCAGCCCAGACGGGGAGACTGTGTCTCAGCCTTTAGCATACCACTCACTACTCAGGTCTCATTTGACTTAGTTCAGCAGGAGGCGGAGGAGGCAAGTCTGTCTGCTCTTAATCAGAAAACAAAGTCTTAAAATGTGAATACGCGAACTATCCTCATACTAGAATATAACTCTCTGTCCTCTCACATGAATTTTTTCCCCTTGTTGGGATTTTTACCAAAGAGTAGCAATACTCATAGCCGTTGGTTGTCATTTATTTTAAGCCAGTTACTCCTTCGATTCAAAAGGAAGATTTTTGCCTATGAATAAATGGATAGAGGGGCCTGAGGAGTTTAAACAAGGAATGGTGAATTAGTTCAAGGAGTAGCCGCATCGAAATGCAGTCTGACGGCAGCGGAAGAATGTTGGTGAGACACAGACCGGGGGCTACAACCGAATGAGGGCAATCATCAAGGTGAGACCAGGAGAGAACACGGGCTCTGCAGAAACCCGGGCTGACATCTCAGGTCACCTGGGACGTCACTAACCTCTCAAACTGCTAGTGTCCTCAGCCATACAAGGGAAATAATCACGAAAGCTCCTTTACGCGTAGTTGTGAAAAGGAAAAGAGACAGTTCAATAGACTGGTAGTTGTTATCATGGAACATATTCAAAATGGAAAAAGGAGGAGTAAAGAATAATACTTGATTTTTTAACAGAGATGTAATTAATAAGTAAGTAAAATAGAACTCTGTAACAACTTGAAGATCACTAAAGGGAACTGTCATAGCCACCCAAATCGGAGGAATACAAATGCTAATTATTTTC